ACTAAGTGATGTTTTTCTTTTTTAAAAATGATATATTTATACGTTTTAAAATAATTTATTTCCTGTATCATATGCCCCATCCAAATCACAAGCCTCACCAATAAAAGAACAATCTCAATATTTACTAGGTGTGCTTTAGGTAGCTGAGCAAAAATCTTGCCTTTTTGTCTAAACCAGAAGTTTCCTGTGTATGACAAGAATATATATATTGTCAGCCTTACTTTTGTGAGGAACCATGGAAAACTTCAGCTGTACAGTAAAAGGACCCATGGCATTTAAAAATGCTGAAGAATATTGTGTTCCTTGCTACAGCTGTATTTACACTGGAAGTAGGACCTAAAAGACTTACTCCACCCAAAAACGTCAAGCATGCCTCTTTCCTTCTGGCAAGCAAGTCTTACATTAATATAATTTCATTATGTTGAACTTGAAGTATCTTCAATTGGCCTTCTGGCACTACTCTGGATGGGACTGCAGCCTTTGGCTGTCTGTGCAGGCAGTGGTATTTACCTGTCTATCTCCCCAGTAAATCAAAATTTCATCCTTTTCAAAAGCCAACAGCAAAATAAAATGTTTCAAATGAAACCTTAGTTCACTTAGGACTGATCAAAGGTAGAGTTCCCTGGCTGTGTACAAAGGAGGAAGGTATGCAGAATGGTAGAAATGCAGAAGTGTGGATTTAGGTGAAAGAGAACCCTTTTTTTTTTTGAACATGTGAAAAACAATTAGTAGCTAAGCCTTAGCATTCAGCACAGGGCTTATTTAGTCTGTGCTGTATATTCTGTTGGAATAGCCACATTGGAGGGATGTTATTTTCTGTTGTTGTGTTAGCTAATGGCTGTAGTTGTGAAAGCACTAATTTGCACATGTGATACTGAAACTATAGTTTTGACAGAGCTGTCTCCATGTTAAAGGGATTGTGCTGGTTTAACTGTGGAATTAAAACAGCAGAGGTGCAAAGCCAAAGTGAGGAACTTATTTCATTCCTCACAGCATACATACGTATATCTGTGTATATATATGTATATATATGTTTTTCATTAAGAGTAAATAACCCCAGTATAATAGCACAGTAGACTAATCAGAGTATAGCTTGATAACCACTGCTGCTTTCAGACTAAGAACCACTGAAGTATGTGTGTGTGAGAATTGTTAGTCCAAATTGTCAAGTTTTTCTTCTCTCAAACTCACCATTTAATCACAAATACGTAAAATATGACAAATATGCTCCTTAAATTACATACCAAAGTACCCCAGTTGAAAGCTCCCACCTACCTGATGTTTTCTAAAGCAACCTCCCCAATATTTCCTCAATAGAACAAAAAAAATTCCCAACAAGAACCACAATGATGAACAGAACAGAAACACTAGAGCTATGCTGAATACAAGTTGCAGACACCTCTACTCTGAGCTTGAACTGAATCCATGCTGCTTCGTGTGGGCAATACTGTCTGCTCCAGCAGACATTCAAAATACTGTTTTGAATGAACATGGGAATAAAAGATTTTGGTAACACCCAAAATTTCAGTTAAACAAATAATGCTCTTTCCTCTTGCTGTGTTTAAATGAGATGTGCTCCTAGTCCCTTCAAATCCCTGGCTGAGCTGCTGACAGTAGACTACAGGCTTGCCTTCAGCAGAAGCTGCAGTGCTGTTTTCAGCCAGATGAGGGGCATGAACACGACTCCACATACCACATTTGGTTTTTGCTGGCTCTCTCTTCCAGCTGTGCTAACTCCATTTGAGTGTAACAGAACAATTCAGCAAGAAAAACCTCTACTGATGGCGTCCCATTCTGTCAGTGGTTGGGGCAGTCATGCCTTCATCATATCCTATGGTACATTCCTCCACCCAGACCTAAAACCCAGTACAAGCAGGGAGGTGAGCCATAGATTTGGGAAGCCTTTCTCTGTCACTTCCCCAGAAAGCTGCCACTAGTAGCAGCAAGCTGCTACTCCCATCTGTCACATGCTACATTTTTCAATCAATGACATTGATCTGTGGCTGGCTTGGTTCATCTGCTGACCAAAAAAAAAATGCTGTCAGCATCAAGGTACTGGAGTGGCTGTTAATGTAATTAAACGTGTGTGGGCAGGGGGAAGGAAGCATTCACAGGGACACTGCTGAGGGCAGAGAAGGCATTTCTAAACTGTCCTAAATAGATTTAACTGGCAGCAGCAGGACACACTCAAAAATGAGGACATGACCTGGAGGCATATTTGTTGCAATGAAACGGGAAAACATGTAGATTATAATGAACACAGATTAAAAAACCCAAACACACACACACACAAAAAAAGGAAAAACAGAAAAAATGCTGGCTAATCAAACTGTTAGCATCCAACAAAAGACAACTGTTATTTTTCCCTCTGAAGATCTGAGGAATATACAATGCTTCTCTGCTTCCCCAATAAATAATTGTAGGGCTTTCAACTAAAATGCACTATTAGCGGAGTGTAGTGACTACTTACCTAAGCAATTTTGCTTATGGATACAGTCTGCCTGATTCTCTCAATACATAATTTCACAGAAATTATGCCAATTATTTTGTCCACCAGGCTTTGAATTTTGTAAATGTACAATTCAAGCACAATATAAGAGAGTAGTGGGAATAAAAGGGAAAACGTTCTTTAAAGAAGTTTTTGGAAAAAAGAACATCAGCAACAAGTTTTCTGACAATAAAGCTTCGTTTTGCCTCAATACAAGTATTTTTACTACATAAAAGATTCATACTACTTCAGTTGGGCTCCCCACCCATGCTGGAAGGAACATCTCAAGCTCTCTTAATACTGATTGTGGAGTGGCAGGGCACACTCAGGTCAGCAATTCTGATCAGATATACCCTTCCCCACTGACTATCAAAGGAATGTAAGCACACATGTTTCTAACTTCAGCACCTCAGATGGAAGGCAGATTGGATGTGCTGTACCCAGGCCAAAGTCTGTAACAAGACTCTCGTTACGGAGTAGTAAAAATATATGTATAAACAGGGTAGTAAATATATATATCTATAAATATTACTTAAGTGTAATGTAAATGTACATCTCCTTTATACGTAGTAATTACCTTTCCTGTTACGAATTCCTTCTCATCACCAATGCTACTGCCATAAGATAAATTCAACAACCAAGCGGGAAAATTAAGAGCAACTTTTGTCATTTAGGTATCAACAAATTGTAGAAGGAGGACATACAAGAAGAACTAATGGTTTTATGACAAAGTAAAGTAAGTTCCCCACCAAAAACAATGAATAAGAAATTCTGAATCTACTACCTTACCCCAAATAAAGACATATAAGACTATCAGAAAGCTTAGGAGCAAAAGTTGCAATGAAACTTGCCTTTTACTTGAGGGCATTATCCCTCACACAGTAACATCAATGGAAAGACATCCACCCATGTCAGCCAGTGGCAAGTCACATGGCACACAGCAGCCCTGTCTCCTACCTGTTTGCACAGCTTACAGCTCTCAAGGCTGTACAAAAGAGACAGTTGATTTCTTTATTTTTATAGCTTGAAAGCAAACTTCAAGGCTGAAAAACCTCAAATATTTGCAGATTGATACAAGTCATAGCACTCCTTGCCTGTGTCTCCTCTTTCAATCTGAAAAGAAAATCCAGCCTCCCCTGCTTATATGTAAGGAAGACCTGAGCTCCTACATCGTGTATGTTCAGTGTAAAAGATTTCTTAGAGTCATTCAAAAGCATGACAAGACTCTCTCAGCTCTTTCTCCTTCTCAAAGTCTTTCTGTTCAATAAGGAACCAAAAATTATATACTTGTTTTAGTTTGTTTAATATTAAACAAGAGCATAAAGAAGCAGAAATGAAAGTAGAAACTTTGATGTCCTTAGCCAGCACTTAGTTGACACTGTAATATTGAATTCAGCCTCCAACCATTTGGGATAAAGATCTGTTCAAAAGCAAAACTGGGACAACAGGGAATTTCAAAGCCTCCTTTTAGAAAGAGAGTCTTCCATTTTGGGTAAGACTTTACATTATGGGTGTAGCTGTAGTCAGTCCTGTGCAGTGCTAATGGGAATTCACAATGAAACCAATCTCCCTCTATAATTAAATCCCAAGAAAGAATATTCCTAAGGTAATTTCATAGGAGTATAAAACATAGCTGGGCATGATGTCCGCTTCTGGTTTTAAACTACTTCATGGGTGCACTGAGACACAGCTTATACATACAGCAAAATTCATTGTGGCATCACCTCCTGCAAACCCAGAGATCCAGGCAAGAGAACCTAGAGAACTACTGAACTGACCAGATGGAGATACTGCCTGTAGCTTAAGGTGTGCTGAACTTCCCCTTGGACTCCATTGATCAGCCTGGCTAGATCACCACTGATTGTAACAGAGCTTTGACAGGAACTTTCCATAAAGACACAGACAGGAAATGGACATTTATTTGCTTTGGTGCAAAATCACAATGTGTGCCCAAGATATCCCCACTCAGAAGCAGGAGACACAGCAGAAACTACTGTGTGTAGCAGAAACTACCACCACCCCGTCAAATACCTCTGAAGAAAGCTCACGCTTGTCCTGCCAAGCCACTGGGAATTCCTACTTTCAGTACTCAAACTGTGCTCAAACATCTCCTATTTTCACTCTGCTCTGTCATCACTGCTTCATCTGTGCCTCGTATCATATTCCTGCAACCACAAGTGCCAAACCCCAGACACCTTTGCAAGTCCTGTTCCCCAGCATCATACTGACACAGGAAGACATCTACCTAACAGGTCTAAGTAGGGAGTGAGAAGCAAGACTGCAAATTAACATACACAGAAATCACTGCATCAAGATTAAAATCTGACTATAAAACAGACAAGTTTTGCCTGTGTGCTGTGCCTCTGTCCTGTGTTTCCAAGACCCTAGAAAATCTTCAGTCTGTGCAAGTCCATTTTAACATCTAAAACCTCTGAAGCCAGAGAAGAATGCAAGGGTAAAATAAAAGCCAATCTCCAGTATATGAATACCATTATACACATTTTTAGCATACCAGGCAATATTCTTCCAATAAGAGCATCTAGCAACCAGAAGGACTCCTCTTCATTCTTTGTAATAAGAATCAGGTATCCAGCTATGAAGTTCATGCCCTGAAATAGAAATATGGGTTTTAAGATGCATGCACGTAAGAATTGCTAGTTTATTTCTTTTGATTAAAGGGTAAATTACTTCACTTCTATAAAGGGGGCATATTAAATAAAATCTACTAATAAAGGCCACCAGTTGCGTAAGATGTTAAACCTGCATGACTACAGCTAACAATAATTATTAACAAAGATCAAGGAGAGGAAAATTAAAAGAAAAAGCTTAGTAGTCTATAATATACCTTCCTTTTTTTTTTTTTTATCCCTGTCCCAATGTAACTGAAAACTGCTTTCACCAGAACCAAAACACAGCTGTATTAGATGTGCAGTACTAACACAATACACCTGAAGCAGACAGCACAGCTGCAGGAGAATGAAGAATGCCTGACACACCCTTTACTCAAAAAGTTGCAGCTTCAGCAGCTTTTACAAGCTGCTGCTGCATAACTCAAATGACTGTATACAAATAATTTGCTTCCATAATAGCTCCAGTATTCCTCAGGCTAGTCAGTGACTGGCCACTACTGCTCCTACCTTTCAATACGCAAAAGGAGGTGAGTACTGGGAGGTGGGATCATTGGAAAAGCTATCAGAAAGTTTGTGAAGATGGTCAGGTCATGACTGGCCAAAGTCCGACGGTGCAATTTTCGAAACTGCTACTGACACTGACTGAAGAAGTGGCTTACAGAGCACACAGGTCACGAACTGATAGTCCCTGTAAACACACTGCCTTGGTCTCAGGCACTTGTTTTCTTGTATCCACCATAACACTGCTAAGTTATGGCAGTATTACTGATTTATGCGCACAGCAGTCCACTTCCTTAAGCATTTTTAAGTATGCCTTCTCCATCACAAACAAACTGACACCCATAACAACATAGCACAACAATGCAACAATAGACACCAGCTGCCTCTGAGGTGCAAGCCCCCACCCCCGAGTCTTTCTAACCTAACAGAAAATTATCTTTAAACATTTACAGACTATGAAGGCTGGTGGTGGTTACATCACCTTCTTCAGTTTCATCCCTTTCTTTGGCCTTCTTCTTGCTGTTCTCTCTCTCCCTCTGACTGGACTCCTCCAGCACATCTATCACCACCAGCAGCACCACCACTGTCTCTCGTTATCCTGCAGTGCTGCCAGTTGTGGCTGTGAGCCAGACTACAGTTACCAAAAAGAACACTTTTAAGCCTCTGGAAGCTACAACTTCCTCTCTGAACTGAGATCACATTTCTTGCATTCAACAGACTTGACTCATCTGTCCCACCTTGGAAGGCCTTGCAACACCCCCAGAACATGGAACTATTAGGACACTGCATCTTTTCCAGTGCTTCCTTTCCAAGCCTTGAGTCACTACAGGAGTTACACAAATGGCTTGTACAGACCATGCACAGCCTTACATGGTGCCTAGCCTTCTAGTTAGGAAGGCAACTACTTGTTTCCATGCTGACAGCTAGCTTAGTAATCGCATATACAGTGACAAGAGACTGGCATTTAACACAGCACACACAAAATCCTACTCTGGAGTGTATGGTCTCAGGACACTGAATTTTGCTGGCCACACCAGGGTACACTACACCACACCACCGTCACAGCATGACAATGCACAGCCTAATACACTCCCAGAGGGGAGACTTAAATGTGCCACAAATGCACTAGAATTATGGAAAGACCCTCTGAAGAGCCTTCAGTCAGTAAAAGCTCTGCAAAGCACTAACAGTGAAAAATTGACTACCCTCCCAGCTTTCTAGTGTTAAAGGGTTTCTCTTATCATGACAGTGCATTACTGTGTCTATCTTGATGAAGTCTGCTGCTTCACTAGCAAAAAAGATGATTTCCTAGAACTTCGCTTGATTGACAATGTGCTTTGGAAAGCAGATGTTGACCTTTGGTTTATGTTCTACTTATTTAGCCAGAAAAGATAACATTCATCCTGTGATGAGATCAGAGATGAAAAGAAATCACATAAGGCTTTCTAAATAATCTTCTCTCATCTCCACTGTCCATAATGCCAAGTTAAAATGCAATGACTAGCCCCTTAAACAGCTAATGTACTAAAGCTTTTTAGTAACGTTTGGACATACATTCTGGGTTGAAGCTAGCATGGTTTAGAAGCTGTGTATGTTTGTGGGTATTACTACCTCTATATAGGAGCTTGACACTTGCAAAAGAGAGTATCCATAATTCTACCCCTTCTGGTAAAGTATTACAATTATATTTTAATACACAATATTGAGAATAATAAAAATAATTCATCTTTTACTCCTATTCTTCAAATAATTTCTGTACTAAAACTGGTTGGGATATACAAAATTTTTTTAGTGACTTTAGTCTAGGTTTAAGTCCCTCTAAGTCTTTTCCTCTCCAGATTTCAATAAATATAATTCATATTCTTTCAACTTTGGAACAGTTGTATTTACTGTACTAACTTTCCCAGTTACCAGGAGGTATAGGTTAACACTCATACCTCTAGTGAGGATGAGGAGGACTTAAGTGAAAAAACATATTTTGCTCATGACAGTTCCTGCTTCTTTATGATACTTAAAGATGGCCACATTTTCCTTGACTGTCATAAATCAGCTTTTATCTTCTTTGTGCCCCGTAGGAAGCTTTACAGCATTTGGCAATGATGGCAGGAACTTTTTTTGAGCTGCTATCTACGCAGTATCAGGTTGAATTTCAAAAGAAAATTTCTTCCTACTTGCATGTCTATACTGGGAGATGGCACCAAACAAATGGTGTACATACACATCACACACACACACCCCCCAACTACATGACATGGCATCAGTGCTGGTCTTCTGCATTTTGAAAAATGTGACAGTGAAAACAAAGGCAACTCAGATCTCATGATGCCTCATACATAACAAGGACTGTTCTGGGAAAGATGGCAGGAAGGACAGAGGGAAAGGCAAGGTCACTTTGTCTTCCTCTCCAGCACACTTGATACAACCAGGTGTGATAAAACATTTATTTTGCAGCTAATAAATGGAGCCAAACATGATCAAGCCAGCTAAAAAAAGGCCACAGAGAAACTCACAAGGACATTTGAATTTGCCTGAAGCCAATTCATTTCCACACATTCTCCAGGCCATTCTAAAAACAGACATAGTTTATGGATCTGCTTCTAAAAACACACATTCAAATGGACAAGAAACACTGCTGAAATGCAGCGTTGTTTAAAAAACAGTCATTACATACCTGACAATAGCCTACTGCTTTATTATGATGCCCATATGCTACCAACACGTTGTAGAGTACATGCTGCAAACACGGATCAGCAGTTTTGCGGAATTTTACATTATCTGGAAATGTTCTGTTCATGTCTAGATGAGATCACAATTAAGAGTAGTTCCCTCCTCCACTTTCCAAACAAACTTACAGTTCTCTGAAGTGCAACTGACACTTCACTATGGTTCACTAAACTAGTTTTGGTGGATTAATTTTAAGAAACAGCTTTACCTCCATTGTGGCTAAAAGGTCATCTGCATTCAAGGACAGTAATCTATTCCCCAAAAAATTAAACCTATTAGTGCACAGAAATCAATTTCAAGCAGGATTAAAGAAATTCTGCAGATTGGACTCTCCCAATGTCTGACTGCAAAGACTTCAAAGCGAAGAAAGCAAACCAGACATTTAGACTGACAGAAACAACACATACCAAATTGATCTGGCCAAGTGACATGAAATAAGCTGTGCCTCTAGGAAATCATGTTCTCCTAACAAACCAGAAGAACTTTCAATTGACTTTTCGGTGAACTTCTACCAAACAAACAGTTCCAAACAGCTAAAAAACAGCCCTTTTCTTGCAGCTGGTGACTTCCGCTTAAAATCACCTTCTGAAAGTTGTTTTGTTTTTTTTAAGTTTCTCTGTGATGTGACCATGAAAAATGTTGTTTGTTCATTGGTGCAAGATCACCAATAAGGAGAGTGATTTTTGATATCCAAGCAGCAGAGCACATCCCACATGCTTCAAGCTCAATCCTAAACTGAGTAAGGACCATGCAATTACTGACATTTCAAAACAGTCATTTCTTCCAGACCAACCATGATATAGTAGGACTCATCTCTCCTTACAAAGGTCTAAGAATGAGACACACAGGTTTGGTCTAGTTGCCCAGAACTTCCTTTAGTTTTTGGAAAGGGACAGGCAGTGTTGATTTTTGGCCTGCTTCACTCTATAAAGAGAGAACCCAAGGCCACTAGTCCAGACTTGTGCATCCGATTTTTAGAAGTTTAAGTTGGGGAGAAAAATCCTATTCAAAAGTAACCAATGATTTTCAAGACTTATTAATAAAATACAAACAGTTGTTTTGTTTACATTTAATGACAAAAACAAATTGGGTTAAAGTTAATAAATAAAATTAGTAACAGCACTACTGTACAGATATCTATGTCCTAAGACTTATCACTTCTTATCAGGCCTTTCCTCCATATAGGAAGAAGTCTGTTACAGCTTTGACACAAAACTGAGCTGTAAGTAAACAAAGGAAGAAAGCTCCCCAAAATCACAAGTAGTGTAATGAAAGTCACAAGTATTAAAAAACTATCACATTAATCACTAGCTCTTCCTTTTAAAGTGAAAAAGTCATTTACAGAAATGTGTGGGTAGGGAAATATTTCACTTCACCTCTCATGTGACTGAAAAGAAAAACACAAGGAAAAAGACAATTTTAAAAAGGACTTGAGCAGCAGCCAGTTATAGGATAAATACGTTTGTTGTGTTTCTTCTTGGTACAAAAAAGCAGCACAGTTATTTGCATAATCGAAATTCATTGTTTATTAAAGTACATGCTGGATGTTACAGAAAAGATCAATACTGACATTTCACTTATGGCTCTTCCCTTCAGCTATGCAGACAAGGATGAGGGGGGAGTACGAGAAGTCCATCATATACAGAGCAGAGACTACTCAAACCAAACTCATCTTTAATTTTACAACCTAAGGAAGGCCTGCAGTTGAGAGAATCTGTTCCAATTTGCTTTCTCATTGTAGGAAGTCTTCCCCAATTTTATGAAGGATTTAAAGCTTTTCTTTATATTTAGTAACAGTATTTTAGTTTGAGGAGAAGGGATGGGGACAAAAACAAGATACAAGAGCTAGAAGTCTTTACCCTTAATGGAAGATATGGGGCACGGCTTCACTGGATTCCTTGTGCCAGATTATCACCCTGAGTGCACCAAGAGCAGGGGGTCCCACTTCCTCCCAATTCTCCCCTTTTTGTGCCATTTGCATGCTCTCCCCCTTTTCCTCCAGCTCTGAGGCTCCTCTGACTGCAGTGTAAAGGAAGTTAACTCGCTCCTCAAGTGCACACAAACTCATGTTTTACCATACTATGAGACGACTGCCAGAGATGACTTGAAGCAAACTGCAGCAGCAGGTGAGAGCTGTTCATTTGACTTGAGCGCTTACCCCCACTTTAATACCCCTGTCCCCAGAGGAGACATCCAAACACCTCCTCTCACTCCATGCAGCCCACCTGACCTGCTAGCCATTAATCTGATTCATTCTTGATAGACGTTAGTGTCCAAAGGAACACAGCCTCAAACTAGCCCAGTTTGGGGGGAAAAAATAATCAGAATTGTTTTCAAGCAGGGAAATGAATGTTAGAAGTTTATACTGCTAGATAAACCCCCAAACTATGACCATCTTGTGGTTGTGTGCAGCTCTGCTGGCTATAACTAAACTAGGTATAGGAGCATGGGACCAGGAAGAAGGCCACAGAGAAAAGCTAGCTACTCCTCTGTGGGTAAATTCCAAATAAATCCCAATAGCATTTATTTTTCAGATGATCTTTCAGCACTGTGAGGTGACAGTGTTATGCTGCTGTGAAACAAAACCAACAGCTTTCCTCTCCTGTTGATTTATCTCTGTGCAACAACTGTGAGAAGACCACTGGATTTTTAATTCCCTTGCACAGGTCTGCAGTATTTCTACCCCCTCATTCAGTAATACAAACATAGGCAGAAAGCCACAGTAGCCTCAGTTTAGAAATCAGACATCTATTTTGGTACCTGAAATAACAATTGTTGATGCTGTTGCTAGAGCAAAGAGATTTAAGTGTGCAGTTCAGAAAACGAATGCTTTTGTACCAGTCTTGTGCCTTTTATATTTAAGGGTACTTCAAAAGTCAGACACCTACTAGTCAGCCTTCTTCATCTTGCTATCTCATCCTTTCTGTTCTTACCTTCAGAACCAGGTGCTTCCCACTCCCAGACACAGTGCCCAGTAAATTACACAACATCCTCTACTCCACTTACAGTCACTCCTTTGACATCTGTAACTTGTGTCTGCTCTGAATAGCTTCCAGACAGGTAATATTTTTTTTGCTCTACTGCAACCCTCCAGAATGATGAAGTTAGGTCATCAACTACAATTTGGAAAAATAATATACTGAAAGGGTACTTTTAATTTGTTAAAACTGGATAGTTAGGACTCATCTTCAAATTGTTCTCTGCAACACCTGGAACTAGAAATTCTTTTGGATGCTTGGAGTTTTTTTGTTGTTTGAGTTAAGGTCAAGTTTGCTATCAACTAAAACCAGGGAAACTGAGCCTGACACCTCCCACTGCCAGCACCAAGTAACAGTTTGACAGCTTGCAGCAATCCAGAAAGCAAAGAGGGCTTGCATTTCCTACAAAAGAACAATAATGCCACTGTATAAATCTGAGAAGCACCTACATAAATTTCATTCCCCTTCATCTTCAAAAGGGGACATCAGAATCGGAAAAAGCAAAGAAGAGAACGGCAACAAGGAGGATCACAGGTATGAAATGGCTACCATACCTAGTATAAAACAAGGTGGATGATAGCTTCTTAGTTTGGAGGGAGATGCTTATAAGCAAGACATCACAAATCTGTAAAATTATGAGCAAAATGTATTATGTAAAAAAAAAGAGCAGTCAGAGGGGTTTTTGTGAATTTTTTCCCCATCCAGTGTTATTAACTACAAGCATATGGCATATTACTTAGGAACTCCCCAAACCACAGACAACTGGAGACTTGGAAAACATGCTGAACATCACTATACACTTTACTCCTCCAGTTCTTCCTTTAGTTGTTCTAGTAGACAAAAGACCAGATGAGGTAGTGGTTTGGATATGACCTGATATGGCTTCTCTCACAGAGAGCAGCAAAACTGACACTGCTGTTTCCCTTGCTCTTGCAAGGTTAAACGCCCTAAACTCACGTGAAAATTCCCAATCTTCATTAATCGTATAACACCATTTAGAGAAGCTTATTGGTGTGTTGATGGTAAAATACTCACTGTCTCCAGTGAAGTGGCAATGGCTACTGTTTGACTTATTTTTTGAACCCATAAACTTAACTAAGATCTTGCAACTACTATCCAGTCCACAGAGTCAGATCTTTACACCAGCAGTCATGCAGTGAGGCATGGTATCAGGGGACTGACTGATAAATATCAGACCCTGAGTTTCACAGCATCTACAGCTCCTCCTCATGAAACAGAAGTGAAAACATGGATATTAGCTGCGCGTGCATGCAAAAGGACTTGCAGACAGATATACTTACTATGAAATTCAGTGGCCCAGCCTAAGCAGGGCTTACTGCAAGGAAGCTATATCAGCTTAAACCCCAGCCTTTCTGTAGCCAGCGTGTAGCCTTTGCATTAGGAGGACAGCTACATTTCATCCTGCCAACATCATTTGTCCTACTAAACTTTACTATAATAGGGCATGAACAACAAAGTGCAGTAGGAATGCATGCCCTTCTAAATCTGTACAGAAATCAAGCCATGAAAATTTCCATCAAAATTTAGAGACCTGCATTCTTTAAGCTCTTACTTTTATATTTAGAGTAAGAAGCCTGCTCTCTTCTACATCTGTCTTTCTTAAGTAAGAAAACAAAACAAACTCATAAACCAAAATTAGCAATAAAGCCCACCAGTTAAGAATCCGCAAGTTAAAGGGCAAATATGGTGAAGGAACTGTTCAGATTCATTTAGCTGAAAGACTTTTATTGCTATTAATAATCAAATTTTTCTTTTAAGATTAGACCATTTCTCCACACAGTATCCTGCACTTTTTAACCTGATGATATCCCATTAAAGAAACTCCCATATTGAAAATCAGTTCCAAACATACATGAAAACAGTTTGGAGCTTCTGGGCATGTAAAAGAAACAGGACACATTGGGTCTTACACGTATTTTAAATTGAATTTGAAATAAAGTCTTTGGTTGGTGTTGTCCTGCTGCCCCTCCCCCTAAACAAAAAGCAAGCATGGTTGCTGTTTTCTTGTTTTAAACCGCAGCATTGTCCTGGGCTAACTTTACAGCCACACCACAGGACTAAATACAGCACAACTGCCTAAAAATTTTGGAAACTGCAGACATGAAAAGTGAATGGCAGCAAGATTACACATCTTCCTTTAGTTTACTATTAAAAACAACTACAGTGATGGGAAAACGCCACAGGCAGAAACAAAACTAATGTCAGGCAACAATTCACACTGAATCAGCCTTTAGCTAAGGCCCAGTATAAAATCTGCACAGTTAACAGCAGCGTGAAGTATATTAAACATGAAGTTTCCATCCACCTTAAGTACTTTGCTCTTTCTGTGCCTTGTATATTCACATTATTTCTTCCTTTCTGAAGAGACATCTATCACTCTGGAGTCCAAGGTCCTCTTTTTATTCCCTCACCTCTTCCAATAAAACCCTCCAACCTATTGTTCTTTATCCCTTCCCTCACTTGCTACTTGTTAGCTTTCTCTCCTCCAGTTTTCCAGTCAATGCAGTAACTCTTTCGAAACTTTATTTCCTTCATAATTCACACATGGTTCTTTATCTTCTTATATTATTTTTCCTTCCCCACAAAAATATTTTTCATGTATTAACTGTGTGAAAAGCCACCTACTGTCATGCCATGACCCTTCATCTCATTGTCTAGTACTGGAAAAGAAATTGTTTGCAACTCCACCTTGCAGCAATTGTACCCCAGCTGAACACAGTTTGATCCTTCTCCAGGTCCTTTCCCACACTGGCTTTGGAAAGTCATCTTAGTAGCTCCCCTGTATTCATAGTTATAGCTCTGCTGTTTCTACTTCTGACCAGGATATGAGCCTGAAGATTTCTGGCTAGTCTTCATATTTATAGCAACATCAAAGTTTATGCTCCAAAACACCTTACTAAGGTGTGTAGTCCCAAAAGCCCACAGTGCTGCTGATGTTGCAGGGAGAGGCAGAGAAGAAACTGCATAAACCAAAAAGTGTTCAGATGTTTATCCAACTAGAATTAAAAAAAGTCCATAAAGCAGGAACTTTAACTACCTGTCTTTTTGAAGAGGAGAAAGATGACAAGCACACCTGCCATTCTAACAGAACCACCTCAGCACTGTGCTTGTCCAGAGCACAGCCCAACCTTGTGACTCATTAACTGGGCATTTCAGCAAATTATCAGTTTCTCTACAAAAGCTCTGCTGCAGCAGGTTGAAAAGTTTCAGGACAAATATCAGTTACATCAAACTGCTACTTGCTTGTCCTTCCCTACTGCCTCTTTCAAACACCCAGTGGGCCAGTCTAAAGACTGGTTGCCTTAATACCCTGTCACCAACACTGGCCACTGATCAAAAGTTCACAGACAGTGCATATGAAACTGGATTAGTAAAGGAGGGTTATTTTTCCTCCTACACTTGCCTTCTGTCAGGGATTTACATTTAGTGTTCAGTATTTCATGCACCATCCCTCAGTTTGCCAAATTCCTGTTTAAACCAGTTCATACTTCTGGCCTCAGCACCACCCTCCAGTAACACAAGTGCCACAATTCAGTGATACACTAAACCTGCAGCATGGCAAATTTCATTCACTGTCCTTGGTTCTTGTATTACAAAAAACAAGTAACAATTGCTCCCCATTCACCCTTTCTACACCATTTATAATTCATACAGCTCAATCAGCAGCTTTTCTTCAGCAGTCTTTCCTCAGGCTGAAATCCAAGCCTACTTCACCTGCCTCATACAGACATATGGACTGTACCACGTCTTCAATCATGCCTGCTGCTCTGCCAATGTCCTACTGGGACAGAAGTAAGGAGAAACAGACCCAAAGGCAGGTCTCGTTGTACATAACTCTTCCGTCTCTTAGGAGATGACACAGTAATATCTTCTATGTTTGTTCTCTGTTCCTTCCCAAGTAACTTCTTGTCTTCCTTAATGCTTTTGACCACACAATGAACCTGGAAAGATCTATACTGGGAAAGAGCTTATGGCTAATCTAATTTATACGTTAATTCAGCACTTAAACCACTACTACAGAAATGTAGGTTTTCCATGACATAAATTGATCCCTAACATTTAAGGACATAGGACAGATAAACATGGATAAAAAGTGTTATCAAGACAATAACCTGTTTTGATTGCTTCAACCAGCTTGTCATTCTTCTCTCCTTCAAGCAGTCTGTGGTAATACCCAGGGTTTTGTTCCATGTTGGCTTGGGCCCCACTCACAATCATCCAGATCAATGCACGGTGTTCATTGGGGATGCCTTTCCTGATATATCTTTTTACTGCAAAACAAGAAGTTTGGCAATTAAAAATATATAAATAAAATTTCCATCTCTATTTTTCTTTTGGAAATGAGCAACAGAAGGTTCAGAAGTCATAGAACTCTTGACTAGACATTATTAAGCTTTCTCTCCTATGCATTTCCTTCTCAGCTACATAGTATATTTTAGATTCACTACTAAGTTCTTGCCACTAAGACTCCCCACACAGATCTTCAGACCCAGGCTTTCCTCCCTCCTTTATTTTCCCTTTAGGATTTTGAATCCCTTCCTCTTCTCACCTTTCCAGATGGAGATACAAATAGCAAAGTTTCTCCTTGATCTTTGTCCTTTATCATTCAGATG